TTCCTTCCTTCCTTCCTTCCTTCCTTCCTTCCTTCCTTCCTTCCTTCCTTCCTTCCTTTTTCTTTTTTTTTTCTTTTTCTTTTTCTTTTTCTTTTTCTTTTTCTTTTTCTTTTTCTTTTTCTTTTTCTTTTGTTTTTTTGAGACAAATTTCTCTGTGCAGCTCTGCCTGTCCTGGACTTGCTTTGTAGACCAAGCTGTCCTTGAACTCACAGCACTCTACCTGCCTCTGCCTCCCTGAGTGCCAAGATCAAAGGCATGCGTCACCGAGCTCAGCATCTAATCACGTTTCAAAGTAACATGAACAGGCTTAATAATTGATACCTAGTCAGAGATCATCTTCAGTAAATTACAGTGTCTGGCACTGGTCCTATAAAACTATTAGAGAAAACTGTATGATTTTTGCCCAACAGCCTCTGTGTTCTGGCTAGATAATGTCTAAAGAAAAAAAAATTAAAAAGGAAAATCCTGTATTTGATGCTACATTCTTAAGCTGCTTTGTATGTTTGTGAATTTTTATTTTTATTTTTTGCTTTTCAGGTTGTCAGTATTTAAACAGAGCACACCATGCGTGAGTACAAGCTAGTGGTCCTTGGTTCAGGAGGCGTGGGGAAGTCTGCTCTGGTAAGTTAGCCACCCAGCTATAACTGATCAGTATTTACATACAAGATGTGGACATTAGCTTGTTTCCATTCTTCTAGTCACCAAGGAAAAAGGAAGCATTATTCTTTTAAAACCTGTTATTTGTAGCCAAAGATGTATAGCTTTTGACTGGCAAGTCACTTACTCTTTTGTATGCCAACTTCTTATTGGCCACCAGTATTTGTGGTTCAATGTGAAATGTAATTTTGATTGTCAGGGAAGTTTACATTCCATTGTGGGAAAGTGTTACAGATTGTAGCAGAGTAGATTCTTCTTTCAAGTTTGCATGAAATTAAAGTTACTTTTTGAATATACGGGGTACCATGCCAGTCTCTGGGGTCACAACAAAAGATAAAAAGTCTCTTATGGAGCTTATAATAGAGCAGAAAAGGAGATGTAATGATACACAATTAAAGGACTACTTAATGCTCTGAAAGAAATATTTAAACTTGTAAGGAAGAGACTGACTAGTGGCCCTTAGCTTTGACAACTGCAAGGAAGGCCAGAATAGCCAGGCATGAGTAAGTGGGAGAAATTGAGGTGACAGAGAAATAGGAGCCCACATGACTGAAAGATGACTATGTAAGTGTTTGCAGCTCAAGTGCAAGAACAATAAAGCACAGGATGTAGGGTTTCTTGGGGGTGCTGTGAAGCAGGTGAGTTAGCTAAATGTTTTATTTAGCAAGTGGACTTTAAATCTGTGTCATTTAGAAGAGTAGGAGAAAGTTGGAAGCTAGTTAAGCACACTGGATTGCTTGTTGGTGCTTGGAGTAGAGCCATGTTTCTTCTTGAGACATTAAATGAGAGGTAGACTTGAAAGGTACTGCTGCACCGGCAGGGGTTAAGAATGAAGGAATAGAAATGCAAAGTCTTATACTTACAAGATACCCGAGTTGCTGAAGTAAAATACATCAAATACACAAATGAATCTTTAAGAGGCTTGTAATATGATTTTAATTGCCATGAATATATTAATCATATGTAATTTCATTAGAATTCCATTACTGTTAGCATGTTAGGAATATAAGTTAACACCTCTGTAGAAATGATTTTTCAAATGCATGTAATTTGAGGTGAGGGTAGAAACAGGGTCTCATTGTTAGTCCAGGCTGGCCTTGAACTTGGTAGTCCTCCTGCCTCAGTTACCCAAGTGCTAGAATTACAAACATGTACCACAACACATAGATTTATATGTAAATTTCAGTTTAGCAATTCTTCTCTGGACGTTTTCTAAAAAGGATTTATTTATGTATATGGGTGTTTTGTCCAAATGTAGATCTGCATATCAAAAGAGGGCAACAGATCCCATTGGGCTACAGTTATAGATGATTATGAGGTGTTATATGGGTGCTCAGATTTGAACTAGGGTCCTCTGGAAAAGCAGCCAATACTCTTAACCACTGAATCACCTCTCCAGCCCCTTCTCTGGACATTTTATCCCAAATATTAGTTCATGTATACAGAATAGTCACATTAAAAGAATCCATTGCAACATTCTTCGTACTGATTTGAAATTTGAAATGCCTACCACTAGGAGCTAGTTAAATAACTCTTAATACATATACAGAATTGAATACTATACAGAAGCAAAAAAACAGCTTTGCACATACTGACCTGTGATATCTAAAATGTATCCTGTATAGGGAAGAAAAATACTAGTTAGACCGACCACCATTTATGTTTGATTTTTTTCAAAAAGCTATATGTATCAGGGCTTGAGACTGAATACTTAAGAGAAGACATTGTTCTTGAGGAGAACTTGAGTTCAATTATCAGTACTCACATTGAATGGCTCACAAAAACTTACAAAACTTACAAATGTAGCCCCACAGGATCCTGTGTCCTCTTCTGGCCTCCATGGGTTCACATACACATAAACATAGGTACATATAAATAAGATTGAAATAATTTTTTTTACCAAGTTAGAGATGGTGAGGAGAGGGAACCTGTGAAATATGTGGACTGTTATATAAACAGATTGGGTAGATGGAAACAAGAATAGTAATGGGAAAAGGAAAAAAAAAGTTAATTCCATTGGAGCTAATAAGAATATTGAGGGAGAGAATAGGAGAGGAAAGCCCAGGGCTGAGTTCTGAATAGTGTCAGCTGTTTGAAGATAGGTGAGATTGAAATATCCAACATAGACTAAGGTATCTCGTATTTTAATGTATAGATATGACTCCTTGACTGCTCAGAAGTCAAGGGAGAAAGGAATAGTGCATGGTTGCACATCATAAAAGAAGCAGATTTGATCTGGTGACGTTGCCACAGCCATGCTGGGTAGAGTTGAAGAGTAAATGAGAAGAGAGGAGATGGAGTTACCATGCAGACAGTCACAGTCTGACTGTGAGAGCGAACAGGGGAGGGAGGAGACGCTAGAGGGGGTTTGGGGCTAGAAGGCTTTCTGTCTTGTTTGGGGATTGGATGTAGCAGAGCATGTTTGTGTCTTGGACACAGTGATTCAGTGGCAAAGAATATAATGACATAAGAGAAAAGGAAGAATCAGAACCAATATGGAAGCCAGAGGAAGAAAATAGAAATTGATGAGAATGAATGAGGTAATCATGAGAAATAAGAGGACAAGATTGAGAGGAACAATGAAGCTTATTCTTCATGAAGAAGAATTGATCAGTGTGAGGTGGTTTGTGGATGTGTACAGGTACAGTAACATCAATCTTGGGGACAGTGCTTAGGCTTTCCTGCCAACTGTATCTAAGCACTTGTAATAGTGGAGGACAAGTACAAGAGGAGGACAGGACATCTTAGCACTGGAACCTCATGCACTTCGTGGACCATATTTTGAGGACCTCTCGTCTAAGATAGACTTTAGAAAGCCTGTATCCTCAATACAGACTTTTTCCTAAGTTATGTCTATAATTAAACCCTTGATAAAAATGAGAATCAAAAGACTGTAGACATGAAGAGATGGCTTAGTCTCTGCACACATGTGCCTACACACAGTTGAAACACAGTACAGTGGTAGAATGTTTGATGAGCATGCCTGGGGTCTTGGGTTGTATCCTCAATACAGGGATGAAGGGAGGGAGAGGATGATTAAAGTTTTTACTGTGATTAAATACTGAAGTTCCTTTAAATAATTTAAGTGTAGATGACCTTAGTCTGCATATGTATCTTTGGTTATAGGCAAGAATTTTATAGATCCTATTTTAAAATTGCCTAGGATTATTTGTACTTGCCATTTATTGAATGATAAGTGTTCCTTCTAGTATGCATTCAAGATATGTTCATTCGTATACTGCATATGAAAGTATGGTATTCTCCCTTATCTGGATGTCCCAAGGCCCTCAGTTAATTCCTAAAACCATAGGTTTTACTGAACTCATGTATTCTGGATTTTGTATGTATTTACATATTATTGAATTATATATATTCAAATTCCCAGTGCTGAGATGAGGTAAGCACTACCACAGCCAGCTTGGGTTCTTTAATTCTTTGCTTTCCATGAAGACTTTACACACACACACACGTGAGTGTGTATAATGTTCATATTTTTGTTAGAACTGTGTATATTGTGTGTATCAAATATTCAGTTAGGGAGTGTGTTTTCCACTAGAAAGAGTTAGACTTAAGAATTAGGAAGATGATGTATTTTAAGTCCAGCTGGCAAATTGGAAGTATTTCTGGGGTACAATTGAAACTTAAATGTGATTACAATATAGAATTGAAGAAAACAGATATTAGTAACATGAAATACCCTGTTCTTCCTTACAGTTTAAAGTTATAAACATTTAGAACCTTTGTTTCTCTCCATTGAGACAAGAAGTTACATGTGGCTGTTTTATTGTTTAATGAATTAGAATTTTGCTGTCTGCATCCCTGTATTATAAGATGTAATGTAATCGTGGCTTAGCAGTATAGTAGCAGTATTGTTAAGTTCTTAATATGACCATCCCTTTTTGTAATAAATGTCTTCTTAGTTATGTACACATTCTTACTAGATATAATGCTGATGCTGTAATTTGTGTTTATCCAGAATCTCAACACAATTTTATTTATTCTTTATAATCTTTAAGGTTAAATAGTACTTAAGAACATTTTGGTTTTCTTTCAAGTCTTTAACTCTGATTTGTTTGTTTTCTTACCTCAGACAGTTCAGTTTGTTCAGGGAATTTTCGTTGAAAAATATGACCCAACGATAGAAGATTCCTACAGAAAGGTAAAATGCAAAACAGTGTGTGCACTTCTGAGTAGTTCTTACAGCTTTCAAACTTGGTCCTTGGCATTTATTTTTAAAATAATTTTGAGAAATGATAGAAATATGCTGTGTCTGTTTTTAGAACTTTCACCTGGATAGACATTCCTCACTGCATACTGCTTAAGAGAGTACCTCAGGGGGGGCTGCTGCTGCTTGGTAGTTCATTCTTGCTGTACGCATGTTCAGGGGGAGTTTAAGTACAAACATTAGAAGTGAATAATAGATAGAGTTGTAACTACTGTTTATAGTTTTAACTACTATTTGTTAACAACTGTAAGACTATTTTTATGATTGAAGGTATTCGTTAAGTTTTAGGTTTTGTTTGACTTATAGTAAATTTGAAGATATTTACTTTTAGGCTATCAAAGTTAATTTTTAAAATAAAGTGTAATGGGAGCATCTGTCATGATTCTCAGAGTCTATGGAACATATAATAATCAAAAGCAACTCTAACACAAACTGTGGGCTGTTGCTGATAATAATGTAATCATTGTAGCTTCGTTGACTGTGATGAAGTTCCACTCTGCTGCAGAATATTGGCAAGAGAGAAGGAAGCTGTGTACAGTGTAGGCAGAGATAATGTGGGAAATCTCTGTTTTTCCCTAATTTTGTGATGACCCCAAATTTCTCTTAAACAAATGAAGTTGGGTCAGGTATGTGGTGCACACGTTTAATCCCAGCACTTGGGAAACAGAGGCACGGAGATCTCTGCAAGTTCAAAGCCAGCCTAGTCTACAAAGACACTATTTTTAAAAAGAAACAAAGAAGTGGGGGGAGAGAGAAAAGGAAAGAGTAAAATGTATTTTTAAAAGAAGCAAAAATAGTCTTGACAAAAATATGTTCTAAGACCCGGTAGAACTATGAAAAGCTTTCATGATTTTATTTTCCAAGTATCCAGGTGAGGCAAGTGTAACAAAATACCAGAAAAGAGAAAGGCTTGCTTTGTTGGATTCTCTTTTTAGAATCTGCCTTTGATAGCACTATAACTTTCGTTGAATTGAAGTTTTTAGATAGTATTGGCAGAATGATTTCATTCTCTTCCAAATTCACACAATTGAGCTCTAGATATCTTATGAAGCCGCAGGCTGGGTTCCTTATTTCCTAAAGACTCCCACACAGATTTTGCCTGTTAACTCTTTGCCCCACTCTGGGTGGGGTGATGACTTTGTGGCCCCACCAGAGGCACTTCTCCTCATTTCTCGGGCAGGGAAGCAAGGGTCAAAGAGCCTGTAGGGTGATGTGTTTATTTTTAGGAAAATGGGGCTCTACTGAAATTTCTCCCAAATAAATTGCTAGTTAAGTCTTTAACCATAAAGCAAGAACTGTCCCTAGGGCATGCTGAAGGAATAATTTTCGTAATCTCTTCTATGAAAATTTTCCAGGGTTGATAATTGATACTTTCTTTAGGCCAGTCTGTTTGAAGAGTGGGAAAATGGAATTGGTATGCTTATATTTCACCTTCCACACAGGTTTTTTTTTTTTTTTCTAAAGAGACTCTTAAAGGCTTTTTAAAATATGTGTATGTTCTTAAGAAATAAATAGCTCATTGCTATTTAACACTCCAAGTTATCCTGATGTTGCAAATTTTGTGAATATTGTAGCAAAATTTTAACAACTTGTATGTAGTAAGTTGGCTAAGGTTCTATTCCTCGAAATCTTTTTGCATACAATTTGACCATTTAAGGTGGTACACTGAAACCCAATATCTTCTTTTGTTGGAGACAGTGTCTCTCTATGTCACCTATAGGGCCTTAAAGAACTCTTACTGCTTCAGCCTGAGATTATATAGTTAAGAACTACTACACCCAGCTTGGGTTCTTTAATTCCTTGCTTTCCATGAAGAGTGTGTGTGTGTGTGTGTGTGTGTGTGTGTGTGTGTGTGTGTGTTAGAATTTTTTGTTAGAACTGTTGCTTTCCATGAAGAATGTATGTGTGTGTATGTATAAATTTTTTGTTAGAACTGTTTCTTTCCATGAAGAATGTATGTGTATGTATGTATGTATGTATGTATATATATATATATATATACACACATATATATATATACACACACACATATCTGTTAGATTTTTTTGCTAGAACTGTATGTACCATTTTTCTTATATTGCAAAAACTGTTCTTTTGCCTTCCAATAAGAACAGATGAACATCATTACAACAGTCAAAACAAAACTCAACTGTAACCATCCTGGTTTTTGGAATATTGCTAGTGTGCTTGAAAACCCCTGTTCTTTATTGCAGTACCAAGTAGAAAAACACTTGGTAGTTGTTAATGAGTACTTTGAAGAAGTAAAAGGGATACATGTTGATGTTGCTTTTTCTTTCTTTTACTCCCCCACCCCTAGCAAGTTGAAGTAGATTGCCAACAATGTATGCTGGAAATCCTGGACACTGCAGGAACAGTAAGGAATCTTTCATTTTAACGCTTTTAGTCTCTGAGCAGGTTTTGTTATCTAAATAATTCTCTATGTAAAGTGCTTATTCTGATTTTTTATTTTTAGTTCTCCAAATGTAAGCCTTCATAATTTTTCTTTGTAAAATTGTTTTGTGATGTGTTTGTTGCCCTCATATCATAATTAAATTGTATTTTGCATTCACCTGGAGAATCTGAAGGTTGGGGGTGGTGAGAAGCATTCTTTTTATATTGAAGTAAGGTATATGCTATAACTATTTTTTAACAAGATATTTAATTTCAGCATTTTAGCTAAGGTAGGTATCTCCCTCTAGTCCCACCCTCCTTAGACATCTAGATAACTGATTGCTTCAGCTTCTCAAACTCTGTGATTCTCCTTGGGCTGTGTGTATTGGTTGATCTCTGCCTGGGACACCTTATAAGAGCAAACATTAACCTCATCTTCCTTCTTGCCCTCCTGTTACCTATAAGTGCCTACCCTTTAAATGTAAACTTCTATTCCACAACTCACCCACCCTCAAAAACAGAAAATGAGGAATTCTTTTTCTCTGTAACCTTTTCTTCATACTTTATTTTTGTTTATCTCTGTGTGCATTCTTTAAGAATGTACTTGAGGAGGTTGGCGGTCTCAGGAAGAGCCATAACCTACTGCAGCAGTACAGTTGTATTTATCTTGTTGATCAATAAGTAGCAGAGCCCTAATCTCAAGAGAACATGGAAGCCATGTTAGTGCTAGAATTTCTAATAAAGTTTATATAAAAAATCCAGAAAATGTGTACAAAAGACTAAACTTGAAGCATTAGAAAGTGGAATACTAGCTCGGCTGACATCTAGCAGTGCAATTGAGTGCAGCAGCCAGGCAGAACATGTAGAACTGTTTGGATAGAGTGGACAGAATGAAGGTGGTGGCAGGGGCATCAGCAAGCCAAAGAACCAGGAAGCATAGGAAGTTTTGTGGGCTTGTATGTTTAATGGTAAACAGGTACAAAAATATTTTTTAATATTCTGTTATGAGTGTTTTCCTAATATTGTAAATAAAGTCCAAGGACTTTTAGGCAGGATTCTGTTTTGTATTGTTATGGTTATAACATAACAATAATGATTTCTCCAAAGAAGAGAAAGTGGGTTTCAAGCAAACAAAAGTCATTTTAACTTAGGGAGATTGTAGCTCTGTAACCAATGTTAATTGTTAGTGACTCCAAAGAAAATGGTCACTGTACTGTTCTTAGATCTTTTCTAAGAATTGAAATTCAGGGAGAAGGGAGATTAAAAAATATATGAGAAAGCATTCTCAAAAGAGTCTAATCTAGGGTTGTAATGCACTGGTTGTCAAGATGGTAAAACATCAGTAGATAGTTGAGATGGCCATCCTGGATGACTATAACTCAGTACTTGGATTTACATCTTGGATTATTTCTACTTGAGTGGTAATCAAATATAAATCTTCCAAACAAAATAAGGTTTGTATATTCAAGGAATTATGTCAATAAACACAAACATTCACTTCAGTTTTTAGAAACTAGTATAAAGTCTTAATGACAATATGTAATTTGAAATGTAGGTCCTTATTTGAGATTTTTCTGTTTAAAATTATCCTAGCATACATTAAAAAACTGCATTTATATATATAATTGTTTTTTTTTTATTATTATTATAGGAGCAATTTACAGCAATGAGGGATTTGTATATGAAGAATGGCCAAGGGTTTGCACTAGTTTATTCAATTACAGCTCAATCTACGTTTAATGACTTACAGGACTTAAGAGAACAGATTTTACGGGTTAAAGACACAGAAGATGTAAGTATTTTTCTCTATATAAAACATATTGTTCTTTCTTCATAGCCAAATAGAAGTGTGTGCTTTCTCATCGGTAGAAGGTTTGAAAGGTAGCCAGCACATGCCAAAAAGAGCCTGTGAAAATAAATTTTGGCTTTCAGAATTAATCTATAATTATATGGGAGATATTTAGAAAATGAGGATGTATATGGCAAAGTGAGCATTTTGCCATGTGGATAAAAAGTATACTGGAGATGAGGAGTCAGATACAGAAGAAGGAAGATGAGCTACTCAGGTTGAGCTTTGAATATGAGAAGTAGGGTTCAAAGAGCCATAATGATTAATGTTCCTGTTTCTAAAAGTCCATCTTTAACAAGTTCTTTGGGTTGCATTGGTGTTTTTAGCACAGTATCTTGCTATAGCCCAAGCTAGCTGTGGACACTGGGATTATAGGCATGCACCACGTTTGTTTGTAGCATATGCCTTTTTTCCTTCTCTTTTGTAAAAGTAAAATAAAGTATGTTTTACATATTTTCATCAATTTGAAGTCATAGGAAAATTCCTCTTCAATTATATAAATTAGGATAGAAATTTTCAGTTGCACCTTTCTGGTTTTTTTTAATGGGAGTGTATTCATCTGCTTAGGACCTTAACCTTGATAACATTGTAGGTAGGAGAAATTTGTGCCATATGACCCCATGACTGCCTTTAGTGAATAGTTTTCTCTCATTCTATGACTAATTTATCCAAAGTTCTGTTTCCATAGAGTTAATTACAGATCAGTGAGTTCTGGTAATGTTTTTTGTTTGTTTGTTTTTTGTTTTTCTGAGACAGTGTTTCTCTGTGTAACAGTCCTGGCTGTTCTAGACTCACTTTGTAGACCAGGCTGGCCTCAAACTCACAGAGATCCACCTGCCTCTGCCTCCTGAGTGCTAGGATTAGAGGTGTGCGCCACCACTCCCTGCTTGAGCTCTGGTAATGTTAATGCTTTTTATTCCATCAGTAAAAGAAAAAAGATCGAGCTGAAGGTGCCTAGACTGTTTTGTGTAACCTGTTTTGGGTAGAAGGTTCATCATGTCTGTAACATGCTTTCTTTTGTGTAGTGTCGTTGCCTTACAACCTCCTGGCTTTGTTCTCTGAACTTTGGCTGAGGAACCCAGCACAGTTTGTTAGCTGTATGTTTTACTGGAAGTAGGATGTTGTATTTCAAGATAGTCAAACATCTGTGGTATAGTAAAAGGGAAGATACAGCTGCGTAATGGCTTTTGTGTAGGTGTGTAGGTGTGTGTGTGTGCGCGCGCGCATGTGAAATCCACATGGTGAGAGGTGCCCACCAGGTTAAAAGAGGACCTTGGATTCCCTGGAGCTGGAGTTACAGGTGATTGTAGGTTATTTGACTTGAGTGTTGGGAACTAAACTCAGGTCCACTGAAAAAAACAGCAGGTACTCTTGACCACTGAGCTATCTCTCTAACCCCTACCCTACCCCGCACAAACATTTATTTGGGGAGGGGCCATCAGTCCTTGGCCTCAGCCTTTCTTATGGCTGTGAGCATCTGTAGCCACACACCTCTCTGGTCATGTCCTGCATGAACATGCTGTGCTTGGTGAGGCACCCATATTGCCAGCTGTGCCTCGGCTTGCTGATAGTCTTTGTCACCTTGTGGTATTTGTTGAGGCCCTGAGGTAGTACAGGGCCATGGCTGGTACTCTCCTTTAGCTGTGACAAAAAGCTCCAACTCCTACTTTTATTATTAATCCTCCTTAATACTCACCTAAATAGCCTTCAAGTCTAATGCTATAAAAGTAGAAGCTGCTAATATTGTCTTGTTACTATTTTTGGCATTTATTAGACTTGTGAGATGAAGCATTTAAACCACTTAGGACCAGTGAGTATACTGTCTCTTCTGTGGCAGGGAGTTCCTTTTCCTTCAATTTTCTACTTAAAATCAAGCCATTTGTAGTAACCACATGAGAATTTTAGGGTCATTTAACTATTGAGAGATGGCTCTGTAGGTAAAGCACTCACTGCTCTCCTAGAGGACCAGGGTTCAATCCTCAGCACCCACATGGCAGCTCACAGCCATCTGTAGCTCTTTTGCCCTCCCTAGGTACAACACATGAACATTGTACACAACATCCACACAAAAAATTTAAAAAAAAAAGGATCATATTCTTTAAAATAATTTGATATATGAACCTAGTAGGAGTTCTTCCATAATTTTGGCTTCTCTCTTCCCCTTCACTCTCTTTGCAAACAACCATAACATACAACGCCCTTTTTTAAGTACGCGGAGATGCGTACAGATGTAAACGGCATGTTTCAGGAAGTGGCAAGTGATTGCTTTTTTGTCAAGACAGGGTAAGTAATGAGTATGTAAGTCTTTGATTTTTTTTTTCTTTTTCAGGTTCCAATGATTTTGGTTGGCAATAAATGTGACTTGGAAGATGAGCGGGTAGTTGGCAAAGAACAAGGCCAGAATTTAGCAAGACAGTGGTGTAACTGTGCCTTTTTAGAATCTTCTGCAAAGTCAAAGATCAACGTTAATGAGGTAACCTGCAACTAACTGTTGGACAGTACAAACAAGCGCCTTTTTATTTTTCTTTGCCTTAAATTCATAGCCAGAATTTTTTAGAAAAAAAAAAAAATAGCTGTCTCAATTTTAATACCTTGTACAAAATAGTAATTTCTAGATACCATATTCCTTGCCTTCCATGACATCACTCTCTGCTAGTTGTAATGCAAACACCTAAGTTTACTTTATTGTCAAAGGCTGTATATGAAGTCTTGCTAAGCCTTTTAAGTGATATGCCAGAGCTAGCATGTGAAACTAGTGTTACAGCTACCTATCCAGATGAATATAAATAGGTGGGAAAGTACAAAAGGAAAGTACAAAATTATTTGCTTTTTGATTCTTGCCTCACTTTTGATGCATGTCTGAAAGTGTGGGGTCTCTGTGAATACATGTAGTTCAAACCACTCAGCCCTTTCAGGTTGGTAGTCCAGATACACATGGCTAATTTAAGCACTCCACTATTTTAAGATCTTAACTGTGGGCTGGAAGGCTTGGCAAATAGGCTATGTGCCTCATTTTAAAGAGCCAGTAGTTGACCGAGTCCCTAAAAAATTAGTGCATTTCCCAGATTGCTACCACCAATCAGGTAAAACCATGAAATTCTTTTTGCTTTTGGGACTTTACCAAAAACCTTTGAAAAAAAAAGAAAAGAAATGGTGGCAGGAAGGCAGATTAAGCCTCTTATCCCCTTCTGTGGCTTATGTACTTGCCATTGTAGCATCTCAGGTACCTAGACACAGGTGAGAAAAGAGTCGGTTTGGTCACCTGGGTTGGGGTTTCACTGACTTTTCCTCTCTGGCCTCTATTCTTGTAGGTCACTTTTCACAACTATGCTTATAGACTCTTATTTTAAATACCTGGTAAGGAAAAACTCGGCTTACTACAGATTCTGTTTCTTATACATAATCAAGAATGTAAAAAAAGCTTGCTTCTTTAAGTAAAACCACTTTTTAAAAAGTACAAAAAAAATCTGTTAATTGCATTTATCTGGCAAATCCATCGAGTACCTGTTGTGTGCTTGGCACTTCATTCTGCAACCAGGTGGGTGTCATCCAGACAGAACTGTTTCTGCCCTTAGGAAGTTTATATCCTAGCTGGGGAACAAGTCCTGCTGAGAGCTGCCATAACAGCTATTTGCTATTCACTGCCAGGTAAATGAGAAGAAATTGATAGCCATTCAGCCATCCATTCGTCTTTCTTTGTGGTAGAATTAGAATTTTCTAGAGGTTGGTTTTTTTTTTTTTTTTTAATGTGGCTATAATAAAATTTTAATGTTTAGTATAGGTTTTTTTTTTTTTTTTTTTTTTTAAAGAATGAGTGAGCAAGAAAAGGAGCCAGATGTGGTGGCATACACTTATAATCCCAATATTCTAGAGGCCAAGGCAGAAAAATGAGTTCTAGACCAGCCTGGGCTATGTAAACAAGACCCTAACTAAACAAGAATATTGTAATGGAGACTGTATTACAGCGAGTGAAGGCCCCTGAGTAGTAGAGTTGCGGTGCAGTGTCACCTTACGTAAGATGGTTAGCCTTTCAAATCGGCTCCTTACTGTGTGTGTCACCCTCACTGCTGTCCATCTTCCAAGTTCATCAAGTGTGCAGGGCTGAGTTGCACCAGAGTCCATCACACAAGACCTCTCCCCATAGGCTCCAGAGTTGAGTAGGGAGGAAGTAAGTATTCTCATTTTTTATCATTACCTGAGTGGGAACTTACACAGCTATTAAACCTCCTGGGGTTGCAGTTTCTAATGCAGCCTAATTGACTTATTCACAGCAGTCTTATTAAATTTTATATAGGGGTTTAAAAAACAGTATAAAATGTCATAGTCATCATGATAGTCTTTACTTTGAAAAACCACACAGGCTCCATGCTAGAAATGAGAAAATAATTTGAGGTGTTTGTTTTTTTGTTTTTTTTTTAAGGTTTCACTCTTTGTAGCCTAATAATTCAGCTGCCATAGTTGCAGCTGGATCGTTCATAGTTCTTCAGACAACTTAAGCTGCTATGTAAATGTTTGTATGGTTTCTGAATGCATGAAGATAGAGGAATAATAATTTCATAAGATTCAGTTCTTGACTTTAAATTTGAAAACAGACAAGGACACAGTGTTTAGCAGAGTCCTCTAATTCTCTATGTTCTACAGGTAGCAATAGTGCACTGGCATTACCTCAGTCTTACCCCCAAATTTCTTGTTCTTTGCTGAGGCTGGAGTAATGATTGGAATAAAGACATCCCAATTAGGAGTGGGAGAGGGGTTGAGAAACTCTATTCTGTGTTCCCTCTAGATTTTTCTATAGTTCAGAGGGAGGAGGAAGAACCTAGGCTGGGGACTTTCAGCATTTCTAACCAAATATTATAGTTCGAACTTGCCCTCATCACTGAACCACCTGCTGCTGTGAGGTAGGCAATGTTTTCCGAAGAAATGATTTAGAATACTACAAACAATCAGTTACCTGTCTTTATAATGTGTGCCAGAAGATGGGATTGGCTGGTATGAAGATCAAGTAGGAAGTGCGTAATTTACTGTTCTGGTTTATATTTTTGTTATTTTGTATTAGAGCTTGCATGTTAAGCTTTGTGCACCAGTGAAAGCTTTTTCATGACTCATAAACTTAAGTTCTTGAAGGCTTCAGAGTTGTGAAAACAGCTACCATTTTGCTTATAAATGTTGTAGTTTTTAACTTTCTCTTAGAAATAAGATTATAGACACTGGAATATTTTTAGAAGATGGGAATTGCATAGATGGAACAAAAAGAAAAGAATATAGCTTTATAATCAATCTTTTCTCTTATTTTTTCAACAATTTAGTCCTGTAATCTCTGAGCCATTTGAAAAAGTAACAGATAATTTTCATCCTAAAGATATGTAGTTTGTTTGTCGTCTTTAAAAAAATACACAGGCTAGAATATAGCTCAGTGGTGTGAAGAAACTGAAGTAGGAAGTGCATATGTATGCACAGGCCCTAAGTTTAATTCTCCACTACTGCAAACAACAAAGAAGTAAAGTAAGTCAATAATAAAATCTCTTGCTTTTGAAATTTACTTAAAATAATCTAAGAAAAAGAAAAATAGTCTGTTTATTCTTTATTTAGATTCACTGGTTATTAACATTTTGCCGTATATTTGTGGAAATCAAAGTTTTTGCTCCTATATATTTTAGTATGTGTATTCTTGGATCAAAGGCATTCTTTGGCTGGAGAAATGGCTCCATGCTTAAGAGCTTTAAGGGTTTTAAAGGCAAGGTCCAGCACCCATGGCTCACGGCCTCCTATCAGTCCAGCTGCAGGTGATCCAACAGTCTGGTCTTCACAAGTACCCACACAGATATATAAATAGAAAATAAAATATTTTATTTTATTTTAAAATACGAAAATTTAAGGACATTTTCTAACAAAACCACAACTATTAAAATCATTAAGCTAAAGATACAACCCAGCTGTAGAGGGTTTGCTACATGAGCAAGGCCTGAGTTCAGTCCCCAGCACTGCAAAATAAAAGTAAAATCAGGACACTTGCCTTCAACGCAGTTTGTTTGACATGTGTTGAGATGTTACCAGTCCATCCCTATTGTATTTCTTAAATCCAGTTCTGCAGAACAGTTACTCAGATGAGGATGCTGAGGCCCTTCACTTTCATCCCAAGCCATTAGTGAATGAGCGCCAGCAAAGAACCAGATTCAGCTGATGCAATCTAAGTTTTAACACATTGTCATGCTTAATGTGGTGAAACTACACAGAAACACAGCAGAGCAAAAATAACCCACTCTCATGAAATAAGAAGTATTATATTTTTACTCTTCTAAAGATAAGATTATTACTATACTCTTTGTCATTTCAAATCAAGCATTAGTGGACTTTTCCTGTGTGTTGTCATTTTGACCATGTAGATGCACGCTTTTAATCCCAGCACTTATCAAGTAAAGACAAGTGGACCTCTTGAGTTCAAGGCCAGCCTAGTCTACAAAGTGAGTAGTGAAACCTGCATAGTGAGACCTTTAAAAAAAATTCATAATGGTGAACATCATGGGTTACCTGAAGAGAGAAATGCTTTTTCCTGTCCCAGCCTAAAATGTACATCACCATCAAATGCAAATTGAGGAAAATTCTATACATTTATTAGACTTTATTTTTAGAAATGACAAAACCCTAAAAGACAAAGACCAAAGAATTATTCCCAATTTTTAAAGGCTAAAAGCAGTTCATGAGGCAGTATGCATCTATAGTCCCAGTCCTTGGGAGATGGAAGCAGTAGAATCAGATTTCAAGGCCAACCTTGACCAATTGTCAAGGTTGATGTGGACTGGGCTTGAAATTAGGTCCTATCTCAAACAAATAAGCAAATAATAACAGATAGGTGCTGCAGTATCAAGAAACAAAATGCAGTATGGATCCTAATAGGTTCTGACCAAGAGGAAACTAACTTTTTAGGGCCTCATTATGACAATGACAAAATTGGAATTTGCTCTCAAGATAATACAAAGAAATGTACTGGTGTTTAAATATCTTGGCTATGATCAGCATTATATTTAAGTTTTATAAGAGAATATTCTTGTTTTGGAAGATATATGCGTAGCCCTTTAAGGGCTCCTGCCACTATCATACAGTTAAAAAGAATTTGTGTTTGGAGAGAGAGGACAAATCCAGTAAAGAAAAAGTGGCAAACTGGTATTACGTGGTGGGTTTAGGAGGAATGGAGGGAAGGAAGTTCTTTAGTGCTGTTGCTCTAATTTTAAGTGCTCACTACCTGAGTCTTTTTTAATTGACTACTGACTGTCCGAGATCAGGTACATATCCTTTATCATGAGTAGGTAAGTCCTTTATTTTGAGACATCAGAAGAAAACAGCAAAGTTCAGTTCTAATGGCAGAATAATTCTTAGTACACTCAAATCATTTTGTGAAACAAACAATCAGTTCCTTTTATTATTGTTTTTACCTAGATATTTTATGATCTGGTCAGACAGATAAATAGAAAAACACCAGTGGAAAAGAAGAAGCCTAAAAAGAAGTCATGTCTGCTGCTCTAGACCTGAAGTCAGCAGCAGCTCTGAGCCAGGTAAGATGCTTAAGCAGAATAAATGCCTTCCTCAGTTTTCTCAACTCTAACCATTTCCCCTTGTATTTACTCTCCATATTCTGAGCTTCTATGTCTTGTACATGTGTCATATACTTGTAGAGATACCTGTATTTGTTGGACAATTTGCCTCCTCTCCAGGAGAGTCTAAGCTGTGAGAGTGAGGACCATGAGTGATTTGCTCGCCACCATGTTGCCAATACCTGCCAAAAAGTGGATATTTGAGAAATAGTGCTAGAGGCTGGGTAGAGCACTTACCTAGCATTAACATGTCTGTTTGCTGCTCTTTGAACTTAGCATAAGCAAAAATACATAATGTGTTACATCTGCTATCTTTTACCCAGAGCTGTATTTTTTAGAAGTATCCATTTTACATGTATCAATGGTTTATTTTTATTATGTGACCGTAGTTTATTATTTGACTAATAGGTATTTTGCTATTGAGGTACTTTGGAATTAGTATGGATTTTACTGAGCCTAGCCTGGCAGCTCCCATCTATTATCCCAGACAGAGAATTAGAAGTTCAAAACCAGCCTGCCTTATATAGCAAAGTCAGTCCAGTCAGGGCTATAGGAGACCCTGGCTTAAAACTAAAACAAGCAAATTATACAGATAGTTGCAGTTATCTGCATGACTTACGTATATGCATTTGTTAAGAAGCATAATGGCCAGTTTATAGGCCATACATATGGGTTCTTTAAGTAATTGTACCAGAGTACATGCACCAGCAATTCATAAATTCCATGTCCTCCCCCAAATTGGTATTTTCAGGCTTTTTAAACCTGAGCCATTCTGTTTGGTGTGTGGTGTCGTATCACTGTAGTTCTACTTATCAGTTCTCAGGAGTGGGTGACTCTCTCCAACAAATGCTTTGCAGTTTCATCAAGTAGTAGTTGACTTCAGGTAGCTTTCATTAAGAAATTCATGGCAGCATTTGCATTGCTAGTCTGGTAAAAGGCCAGACTCTGTGAGCTGATTGCTTGTTTTCTTTTAATTACATATTTAAATCCCCTGATGTTTCTTCTTTGTCAGCTATTAAACCCAAACAGAATGCTTTCATTCAGCAGATGTATGTTATCGTTTGAGGCTAATTATGTGAATATAACTAAACTTGATAGAGTTAGAAGAGGGGAACATAAACTCTCCTCATTCAAGAGTTGATGACACTAACTACTGTCGACCTCTGGGGCCTGTTTAGTAGATTGCTTCCCAAACTCCTGATGAGCTAATTTGTACTCCTTAGAGATAGTGACAAGTAAGTGTCTCTCTTAGGGGAAACAGTTGAGTGACTGCAACCCTTTTTTAAAGGAAAAATAGAAAGGAGGAAAAGCATAGAGATTGGAAGGTCAGCTTCTGCCATTTAGGTTGGTGTTACTGAAGAGCTAAATGGCTTTTTACTAAAACGGATTGATTAAAGCACTGTAAATCATTAGTTTTCTGAAAGTGATTGTTGTTAAGATTACTGGTGTTTGTCTACAAAGACAGAAAAATGAGTCAAGTTGTTAGTGTATTGTTTAACTCTTTTGTATTTAATTGTCTTATTGATACTATTACCTTGACAAACCTGAGTTTTAACTTTGCAATCTCAGAAAATGGTTGTTGTTTTGTTTTGTTTTGTTTTCTTATTTCTTTTTTTAATTTTTTTTTCAATTTAGATTAAAGGAAAATACATGACTTGGCCTATTGTGATTTTAAAATTTGTTCATACATGAAGTTTAACTTAGCAAAAGAAATCCTGCCTGGGTTTGGAAATAAGTCATTCATATTAGTTGCATAATTAGTTGTACATAATTCAATTTAAAGAGCAGTCTCCTGGGATCAGTATTCAGAATGCTTTGCGGTACATTTTATTGTGATTTGCACTTGAAGTGCTAAAGCTTAGTGTGGTGGCACATGCCTGAAGTCTCAGTTCTTCCGGCTAAGGTAGAAGGATTATTTGAGCCCAAGAGTTTGAGACCATCCTGGCCAACATAACAGGACTAGGGCTGAAAAGTTCTGAGATAACTGGGTAGATTTAAATAACAATCACAACATTTTACTAAGAGTATTTGAATGTTGAAGGCAGCTTATATGTCTATACCTTTAAGTAGAATTGTATTAAAAGATGTAACTTTCTCAAATTTTCCAATTTTAAAGACCTCAGAGAAATATATAATAAGGAGTTTGCCCTCTAAGTGGCTTCTGAATAATAGGAAGGACCTGCTGATTCTCTGCCTTTGAGTATGGGCTCTTTCTGCCCTCTCTCTGCCAGCTGTGTTAGAAATGATAGTCCCTAATGTGGCATCAGAAATAACTAAATATAGAATTTCTCATGGAGATTTTATGTAAACAAATGTTGAACTTCTAAAAAATAAGGTAATGAAAAATAAAGTACTGAAATATTACCTCTTTATAGATAGGGTATTAGATAAGAGGTGAAATACCAAGTATAATAAAAGCAGGAACAAACAAAAAATTGATTACTAGTAGCTGTTTGTGAACTCAGTCTTTTATATATTTGATTTGAACTTTTAGACAGTCTTGTGTACTCCAAACGGTAGTCAAGGTCAGACTTGAACTCCTGATCTTCATGCCATCATGCCTGGCTTATTTTTGACTGTATAATGGGAAGGTAAAATAGCTCTTTTACTGAAGTAGCTTGGTGTACTTCAGTTTCTTAGTAACTATTTATTTATGTATTACTAGATATCTATTTATTGACTGCCACCTCTGACATAGAGAGAACTCTTGTCTATGTGTGTCTATGTTTGTTCAATGTTCCAGATTACAGAAATGAAGAACTGTTGCCTAATTGGAAAGTGCCAGCATTCCAGACTTCAAAAACTAAATCTGAAGAGGCGTCTCCTGTTTTATATATTATGTGAAGAATTTAGATCTTACATTGGTTTGCACAAGTTCCCTGGAGAAAAAGTTGCTCTGTGTATATCTCCTGGAAATAAGACATAGTATTTCTCCTTTGCAATAGCAATTATAACAGATGTGAAATAAGATACTTGACTCTAATACAATTATACAGAAGAGCATGGATGCATTTCAAATGTTAGATGTTACTACTATAATCAAATGATTTCATATTGACCTTTTTATCATGACTCCTCCCTATCAAGCACTAAAAAGTTGAACCATCATACTTTATATCTGTAATGATATAGATTATGAAATCTCCCTCAAACTCATTACAGCAGATAACTTTTTTGAGTCATTGACTTCATTTTATATTTAAAAATTATGAAAATATCATCTGTCATTATATTCTAATTAAAATTGTTTGTGCATAATGCTTTGGAAAAATGGGTCTTTTATAGAGAAAAAACTGGGATAACTGATTTCTATGGCTTTCAAAGCTAAAATATATAATATACTAAACCAACTCTAATATTGCTTCTTGTGTTTTACTGTCAGATTAAATTACAGCTTTTATGGATGATTAAATTTTAGTACATTTTCATTTGGTTTGTGTCTTTTTGTTTATAGATTTAAGTCCTTTATTTTATAATAACTACGTTGTTTAAAATGCAGCGGTAGCTCCTTTCTGCGTGGATTTAGCAGAACACTTGGCTTTAAACCACACTAATTGGTGATTTCTTTAGGAACAGACCTCACACTTCCTGCTCTAGATATATTTATTCCTACTATACAGTGAAGTACACCAGACAACATAGAATAGTTTTGTATATTCTCTCTTGACCTTAAAGATTGTATCTTATGGAATAAAATATCCCACTCTGTATTATTTTTATATGTAAGAAGATAAGTTTAATACTATATCAGGGTTTGACTTTGACTATTGCAAATCCTGCACAGCTTGTAATTTCACCCAGGGAATCCTTGCCATTGTTAATTTGTTGGTGTAAGTCCACCAATGAAGTGTTATGTGAAAATTTTCAACCTTGTTTTCTAATAGATGAAAGAACTTGAGGGAAGCGGTTGCAAGTCAGAACACAAAAAGGGATGCGTGACTTGACTATCTGAGTAGTGTAGCAGGAGTGATATGACGATGGCTACATCACAGTTTAGCTGGCTGTATAGAGGTGCTTTTCTTTTCCTTCCCAGTTGCATTTACAGATATGAGGCTTATGTTGGACATGGACCCAGGGTAATACTACTTGTGTGTTCTCCATGAAGAAAAGGAAAGCAAATGGCTTGTTGGCCAGGTGCATACTGGAGAAGAAAGCAGATTGTGATCTTAGGAAACCCTGTGCCTTGTCCCCAGAAATCAAGGAGACCAATCCTAGAAAGTAAATCTTTGCTCAGGGATCTAGATACGGTCTCACTGCAACTAGGTGTGCAGAAGGTGTTGATGCCTTGCTGAGCTTTGCCAGGTATGTGGACAGCCCATCAGTTACTAAGTCAGCCTTCAAATGTAAGATCAGACCAACCTGAAGAAATGTCAAAAATATTGTTTGAAAATTGGAAATTGTATTCTTTTGATATTCTAATAAACTTAGCTACTAAACATTTCCCTTCTCTTGATCCAGTTATGCATGTCTGTGACTAAGGGGCAAAACCTTAAAATAAACTAAAATTAAAATGGAAGGATAGGGCCAGTTTGTCCCAGTGAGAGAAGCTGGACTTTTTGTTTGTTTGATTGTTTGTGATTGCTTTTTAAGTGGGGTCTAGCTGCAAACTTCTGGGTTCAGGTGATCCTCCTGCCCCAGTAGCTGGGACTACAGGAATATGTCACTGTGTGCCCAAATTGAGCCACCATGTTTTAAGGACCTTTGAAGTCATTAGACTTTGAAATACTTCTCATATCTTTCTTTGGCCTTAAAATCATGGACAAGCCAATAAAATGTCTAAATACTGTGTCACATGGGTTGTGTAGGTATTTGTTACATTAAATCAAAGTCTCACCAGTAGTGTGAACTGATTTCTGTTAAGTTCACCTTACACTCTCCACTTGGATTAAAAGTAAAACTCAAGAAGAATGCCTTTTTGGCACACAGGAGTATTCAAGACAGAATCAGAGCAGTGCAGTGTAATCTAAGGGAAATCTGTACTTGCTGAGCAAGTTGGAAAGGTGTCCTGTTAAGAGAGAGGGTTGTCTTTTTATAGTGTCTTTTTGTGAACTCCTTGGTCTTTGAAAGCATGATTGAAGACAAGATGTATTTTTATAGCCAAAAGATCAAGAGTCTCCAGGGTATTAATTTGAATCTCTTGATGTATATCCATGAACGAATTCCAGAGTAATGTTTGTGGTTGTTTCGGGTGTAATAGCTTTAGTTGTGTGAATAACAAATTAGCTTTATGGAAGCTATATGCTACAATTGTTTTTTTTTTTTTTTCTTTCCCCAACTAGAACACAAGCAACTTCACAATGACTTGATGCCTCCAGTCTATAGTTTTAGAATTTAAATACTAGTGTGTATTATCTTACCTCCACCAGGGGGAGCTTCTGTATCACATTATGCTTCTACCAGCGGTGTATCAGAAGTATTCTGTACATGCTCTTCCTTACAAAGAGGCTTGGAGTTTACAGCTTATTCAGGCAGGAAAGATATGCAAAATTTGTGGGAGATATGATTGCAATTAAGTTAGTGAACTGTAGCTATTTGAATATTTTTCTTAATATTTGGAGAAACGGTGGCTGCTGGCATGTAACTATCATTTCCCCACAGCTCTGAATTCATCTTGGTCTGGTGTCTTCATTTGCCATCATCAGAGGCCACATTTTATTCCTCAGAAAGACTGTCCCCTTTTCTGAAGTTGTAATATTCTTGTAAAATTAGGACTAAAATACTGTTGCTGTGTTACCCACTTCAGTGAAACAAGTGGTTTGGAGTCATTTTTCTCCACATATGAATAGTAATAAAACATTCTGCCTGTCTTGAGTCTGGCCACTTTAAAACAGCTTCCCTGTATCCTCTCTCAGGTCAACAAATATTTGTCAGTCATATGTTTTGAGTTTTGGCTTAGGAACCAAGGGACAAAAAGAATGAGTTCTATGTTTTCCTTCCTGACCAGTACTCATAGGATGTTAGAAACCAAAATGTGCTTTTATAAATTATGTGTTGAAATCAGCATGTGAAGAAATTGTCTCATAACTGGAGGAGGAAAATAATTTTTTAAATATGCTTTATTGGGTCTCATGCTTATTTAAGGTGCTAAATATATAGTAAAATAGCCCCACTGAAACCACACCAAACATCAAAGAACATGTTGGTTTGCTTGTTCCTCCAGGACTGGAAAGAGCCTGTCTTGTTGGAAGCAAATGAATGTGAGCATTGAGAGTGTTTGACTGCCCAGCTATTAGCACTAATGTTGCTCAGACTATAAGCACAGATATTCTTGCAAATATATTGCAGGTATTAGGTTGGTCTTGGGTTTTTCTTCCTGCAGCTTCATCTTGGATCCATTGACTGTGCAGTTCTCTTAACTCTGTCATGTTCCTATAAGAAAAGCTAGAGGCTTTGAACTGGATACCTAGTTCTTTGTTGAGAAGGCAACATGGATTCTGTTTTCCAGACACTAATGGCCTTTGAAGGAAACTTGGGAGTTGCAAGTGCTATTGGCTTGTTAAGAAACAGACAACTATAGGCCCAACTGCTAATTGCTTATTCAAGAGACTGGCTGTTCCCGTAAAGGAAAAACTTTAATAAACCTTCTCATTTTAAAGAGTTGTGTGGCTCTTACTTTGAACTGTTGTTTTCAGTGCTTTTCTTTAATTTTACCCATGTTCAAATTTTTACACCTCAGTCAGAAGGCCTGCAAAGCAGAAAAGTGTATGATCTTTATGGGCCTATCAACAGTCACTGTATTTGTACTCTCTGAATACATGGATATAACAATCAACATACCCAAATTCCTTCCCTTGCAGACTTTTAATGTTTAAGAAATGGCAAAAGATTATGCTGGGGAGATGAGTAAGTGGGTACCCCAAGGGCTTTCTGTGCAGACTCAAGGAGTTGAGTTCAGACTCCTAGCATTCACACACCCTTGTAAAAGGCGGGGCTTTGTGATACCTGTAATCCCAACACTGGGAAGTGAAGACAGATGATCGCAGGGACTCATTGTCATCAAGACTAGCCAATTTGCTCCGGGCTCAGTGTGAGACCCTGTCTTAAAACCATAAAGTGGAGAGCAATGGAGGAGCTCAACATTGACCTCTAGCCTTCACAAGCATATGCAAAGGCACTTGCGTGCACAAGGTACACATACCACACAGGTAGATAGGCAAAGCTGCTGAAATCTTTTGTGTGTTTATTCTGATGAATGCTGTAGGTTTATATTATATTATATTATATATTATATTATATTATGTTTATATATATGGTACAAAGGGCAATGGGAGTGAGTGGGTGGAAGACTTATATATCTCTGTGTTGGGTATGTGAGGAAGCACTGAAAGTGAGCCCATGCCTTGGAGAAAGGTCTTCACATTGGGAAAAGCATGAGGGCAAGTGCTTCACTGGAGGATGTGCTAGGCATGTTGGAAGACTAATGAAGAGGTCGGCATGGCTGGAGGAGAATGAACAAGAGGAAGAGTACAGTAGGTAACAAGATCAGATGAATTGAGTAGAGGGGGAAATCAGCTTTAGTCTGTGTGGTATTCATGGGAAGGGTTTTAACAAGAGCCACAACAGTAGTAAGTCATCAAGAACACTGCTAAGGGTTGGAGAGATGACTCAGTGCAGGAGCACTTGTTGCTCTTGAAGAGGTCTCACAACTCAAATGACGGCTCACAGCCATTTAAACTCCAGTTCCAAGGAGTACCAACCCCTTTTCTGGCTCCATGGGCACTGCACACATGTGAATATATATACATGCAGACGGAACACCCGCACATATAACTATTTATGAACCACCGGCTCCTGACACTTTGGCTCTCAAACATGTTAGAAAGAGAAAAATCTATTGCTCTTATTTCTGTGTTAACTGACATGGTTTATTCCCTTCAGGTTTAGCACAGGGCCTGACAGGCTGGACATTTAGTAACTACTAACTCCCTCATGCCCTCTTAGGCTTCCCTCTCTGTCCTTCCACCATAGGTGGGGCAGCACCACCTCGGGGTGTTTAGGGTTGTGCTGTGTCATAACTTTTGGTTCTATCAGGTAGGTACCAGCTTCATCATTGACATCCCGTTGTCAGGCCCTCCCTTGGAGGTGAGAAATATGCAGGCCACGGTTATTCACGTAGTTCCTGGTCCAACTTGCTTAAGCGCCACTGAGATCTTCCTCTCAAGCTAGATGGGCTGTAGTTTGAAAGAAAGTCTGGGATATGGGAATACAAAGCATTCAGCCTTCCCAGTTTGCAAAGTTAGGACTTGCAGCGGGGGGGGGGGGGGGGGGGGGGGCTGCCTGTCTTCTGTGAGTTGTGTGGAGCTATCGAGAAGCTTGAAGCCACTGTTTGATCCTTAAACTCCTGTCAGGGTCCTAAAGCCTACACCAGAAACTTTGGAGTTCTTCGGAGCCATGGAACCACTGATACAAAACTGTTTCCTTCTCTGAACGGATGCTTAGAATCTCAGCAGAGAGTCCCAACAATTGTTTCATTCACTTTGGCCTAGGGCTCTGGGATGGTGAACAGGTTCTTAGGCTTGTGGTGGGTGTGAATTGAATGTGAACATAGTCTGAGATGGTCAAGGAGTTGGTACACAGGAGTTCAGTTAGTGTGCCTCATTTGGAAAACATTTTGTTGCCTTTTTTCCCTAAGTCCTTGAGGCAGGGTTTGGGAGGGGGTGGAGAGTGTGCGCCTAGCATACACAAGGTGAGGGGGTTCACATCCACACACCAGCTATGTTGTTTTCTGGTGTCCACCCTTCTCCCACAACTCCACACAAGTACTTGTGTGCCTTCTGCCTTTCTGGCAAGCAGGGCCCGGTGGGAAGACAATGCCTGGAGTGTGTCCAGAAGTGGGACTGGAGGTAGAGAAGGCGCTCACCACCCAATTCTCAATTTCCTTCCCTGCTGCCCTGCCCAGCCCACTCCTCCCTTAATAGTCACAATAAGGGGAGGCGGATACAGCAAACTTGGTGTTCTCATTAGGGCATAGCAATTTAGAAAAACATCCGGGGGTAGGAAGGTCTGGGATCAGATGTTGACAGAAAGGACATCCATGTAAGTGATCCAGGTCAAGAAGGCTGGAGGAAAGGCCAGGCAAGAAAGGGAGAAAATTTGGGGTTTGGGGCAAAGGTGACTTTTCAGTGGTGTTGAGAGAAAGGTGGCTGTGGTCAACTGAAAGACCTGAGCTGCCCAATGACAGCATGACAACAGATAGGGAGGTGAGAGAGGGAAGGTTAGATTCCACAGCCAGCCAGAATTAAAATAGAATTGGCTTAAGAAGCCAAGCAATAGACCAGGGACAGGGCACTTATCTACAGCTTGAAGATGGGGCCTGTCTACTGTTTCCTGCTCTGATAGTAACTGGTCATGGCTTTCCTCTTTCCTGGGGAATGGACTCTGAAGCTGTGAAAGGTGGAGTAGGAAGGGGGTCAGCTAAGAAAGGCTTGGTCTCTGGTGGTCCCTGAATAGGGTAAACTGAAGGTGGGCTCAGCTCGGGCCTCCCTTAAGTGGAGATCGCACAGGTAGCAGCCCTGTGCTCAGTATCGGAGGCAGAGTAGTCACTAACTTGGAGGTGCTCACGGGTCTCGAGGAGAAGGAAAGCATGTTCAGAAGTGACTGCCAAACCAGTAAGTATCGGGGTTTAGCTCAAGTCCTGTGGGAGGGCTACACAGTGACTCAAGCTGGGAAAAGTAAAAGGCAGTCTGAGTAGGACCTGGACTTGGGCAGACCCAAGCATGGAGCTTTTCAAGTAACCCCTCTGCTTGGTGGGCAAAGTGGATGAGAAATTCCAGAAACAAAGCCCAGCAAGCCATTTGTGGGTCTACTTGAGCAAGGTTAGGCCTCTGACACTTTCGGATGGACAGGAAGACAGGATGACATCACAGACAACCCTACACTGTGCCGGAATCCCTTAAAAGCTTGGACTTGACTTGGATGAGGATATCTTCCCCTTTGAACCAGCACCTATATGCAGCTTCCAAATGGGTGCCCAAACTGCCATGCCTGTCCAGAAGAGGGGATATGCAGTGTTGGGGAGAGGTAATGATGAGAGGTGCAGAACACTGATTCCTACTGTCCCTGGACAGGGCAGAGTCCAGTCAGGCATCCTGCTTGAGGAGATGGAGAGGAGAAACGGGGATTTTCAAGGTCCCCTGCCTGAGATTTGCCCCCAGCTGTGAGCACACTGATTTGTGGCCTCTGACCAGCACAGAGGTGCTTTGGGAAACACAGGGAGCAGTGAGGGAGGGAGGGCTCTAGTTGAGGGGGGACTTTGTGCACGGACAAAGATGATTCTTTGATGATGGCAACAGGGGTACGCACTGGGCTTGGAGGAGGTGAATGGAAGGAACATAGTGATGGAAGGGAAGGGTCACGAGATGGCCAGGGAGAGTCAGTCTTGTCAAATTCAAGCTTCACAGGGCAGGGGGAGGGGATAATCTCAGGGATGGCCCCTAGAGAAAAGGAGTGGTGTGGCCTGGAAGAAACTGGCCACCAAGGTGAAACAGCTGGTCAGCAAAAAAGTTGGTTCATTCAGCTCCATCCCTGGCCTGCATTTGAGGCCACAGGTTGTCAGGGAGGGAGAATTGGGTACATAAGACATTGGATGTGTCCCTAGGGCAGCTCCTTAAGCAGTGGGGTCCTCAAGCACCTTCCTAGCCTGGCCCAGGGTGCTAGCCTTCGCCACTTAACAAAAAGTATGAGTGTACCATTTGACAAGACGATCCAGGTGAGCAACATTTGCACAGTGGACAAAAGCACATTCACACCCCTCTAATCCTTGCCGCAATCCTGTGATAAAAATTGTGTACTTTTTAGCACAACACCAGGGCTCAGAGAAAGCACTGTTTATTTTCAGCATTGTCCGTTAGAGTTCATGGTTAGGCAGGAGATGGATGACTAGTGCCATTTCTGTGGAAGGTGTGTGTTGGGACCAAAGCTCTCCATCCCTGGTGCATTGTGAGAGAGGTCCTGCAATCATACCTGCTTCATAAAGGAGCAGAGGAGCCTTCAACAGGTCATGCCACAAGCACAGACTCTCACAGTGACAGGCCTGGGTCTTGATTCCTATCTGACTCCAGATCAGGAACTCATAGAAATACCTGGTGCTGGCACAAACACCTAACTGCCCTGGTTGGCGAGGTCCCCTGAGATGAACTGAATGGTCACTTCTGGAGGGAAGCTGCAGCCAGGCCGCAGCTCCCCAGACGGGCTCTTGGTTTTATCCTGCAGAGAATGTTAGGGTGACTTGAGAATGGCAGGACCCCCTCCTATGGAGCCTCTTGAGGGAAGGTGTGGATGGTAGACAGAGTTGAGCCAAGAATCTGTTCCTCAAGATTAGTTTGGGTTAGAGATCACTCCAATGGTAAACTACAGAAGAGCACGGAGGAGAGAAGAAAGAGAGGTTCCAGGCCCACATGCCTGTAAAGAGGAAACAAAGAGATCTGCCAGGCTCTACCAACCAGGGAGGGGATGTTCCAGTGGATGCTGCGGTTGGAAAATCTCCACAGACTGACCACAGACAGAGAGGCAGGTGGAGCCCCGAGAAGATGCCTAGGGCGACCAGAGGCCTGGCAAGAAATTAGGCCAGATGTAGGCCAGGCCTCCATGCCAGGAAGGATACTATATGAGCTTCCAGTTCATTTGCATGTCCTAATTAACCATAAAATGAGCCCAGGAGGCAGAATTAAGCTGTCAGTTTCTCTCTGTCTACTTTCAGTCTCTCCTCCCAACACATGTTGCCCTGCACTCTAGCTAAGGCCAGAGGCCTTCCTAGTCCATTCTACTTCAGTAGTGCACTCTCCATCGCTGTCTCAGTAGGAGCCACGGGTGGACGGAAAAGTAAAAGTTACATGAGGCTGGGTCACCATAATCTTTCACCAAAGCATGACATGGTAGTTGGGACATTGTATCAGCACCTTCCAGACTCAGGCAGAATTCTTCTAAAGGAAAATGAGAATGCTACTTCTCAATCATGAAGAGACATGAGTAATCTCAGAGGACCAAATGTTATTCTTGATCTGGGCAGGGAGCAGAGATGGACAGTTTGCCAGGTAACATGAACACAAGATTGGAAGTCAGTTACAGACTGTTTCAATCCCAGCTTTGTAACTGTGTGAGCTTGAAGGGGTTAACTTCTCTGAACCTATTCTCATAAAATTGGCAACCATTTCCCAGGCACAGCAAAGAGGAGATAAGAAAAATAAAAGCAAAGGTGCCCAGAACCTGTGGATTATCGTGGATGCCAAAATTACTTCCTAATTGTTTTGCTTTGGTCCATTGACTCTTTTCTGGCCGGGAACACCTTTCTTGGTGTTCTTTGGCAGCCTTGGAGGTCAGCAACTGGTTCCTCTTCCATCGATGAGTTCCCACCTTCGGTTACAATGAACCAGGCAGGAGTCTGTCGTGTTAGTTGATTTAAACGATATGAATTATGGCTAGTCCACAAAACAAATGAGTTGCTCTTGACTTGGCTTCCTATGCAGTCTTAGTCCATTTTTTGAGTGTGCCAACCTTTCAGCAATCGGGGTATGAGTCTTTCACATGTTCCTTCTCCAGACACATTGCCCAGCAGCTACCAAAGGCAGCCACAGTTCTCTTCCTTCACCAGAGACAGAAATTCAGGGGATGGAAAGGGACCCTGCGTGGCCAGAAAGCATGAGCCCAGCTGACAAACTCCAGGCCAAAGTAGATAGGCCTGGTGCCCAGGGAGCCAAACTGGGAGCTGCTTTCCTTTGCTGGCAGCCTGATATGGGCAGCTTGTATGCCATGTCCCTTTGACCCTGTTGATTTATCGGGGAAAATAATTCCAGGTCATTCTAGGTCTGAAAGAGATGGGCACATTGCCTGGCAAAAACGTGACAGGTCAAAAACAAAACCCTTTCCTCACTTAAAAAAAAAAAACGTCATTTAACTCATGGGAACTTGCAGGTGACCCTCCCTTCTGCTCTTAGCTCCTCATCACCCATCCCCCTACTCAGTCCCTCCACTTGGGTCCCCTGGGGTCCAGGCTGCAGGCAGAAGAGCTTCTCTTGTTATTTTTCTTCTCCAATTTGCTCTTAATGCGCTGGGGGCAACAGGCAGCTTGCTGCTAATTGCAGTCGTCACACCCCATCAAGCTGAGCTGGGTCTGCGGGGAGGGAGGAGCTAAGGCCTCCTCCAGGGTGGCTGCACCTGAACAGGGGCCTACTTTGTTCTCTCCTGGCTAAGGAGAGGGTGGCTGAGGTGGATCCTCTATGGCCCTAGGCTGCCCTGGGGTTGCATGTCTGCTCACTACACAACACACCTGGCATCGGCCCCATCTTGAGGATCCTCTATTGACTTTCAGGGTGATAAAGACAGATGAGGCCTGACACATCCGGTTCCCTGGGTGACCACAAGGTCTGGACCAAGAATTTTTCTAAATGTGTAGGGGTTGTTTCTGGGATCATCTGTGCATCTGCTGCCCTGCAGGAGCATTAAGGCGGGGAGGAGGGGCCAGGCTAGGGTCTCACTGCTGGGCCAGGCAGTGTGTGACTCCAGGGTCCAGCAGTAGCCCCGAGGTTGGCCTGACGTGTTTTGCCTCCTGGGAGCTGTGTGTTCTTGGAGACTGCTGCTTCATTTGGTTGGGCATGCCTACTTGGACTCAGGAGACAGCATGTGGGTGAAGGCACATCATGCATCCTCTGCACTTTGAGGGAGATATGGGAGCCTCTAGGGCTTCCTCATCACACAATACACACCTTTCCGCTTGCTCAGTCTTTTCCCCAGCACCCACCTGTGGGCTGGAATCTTGGTCCTAGAAAGGGCTGTGAGTAGGGATTTCCCTCTTTCTGGAGCTCCATTCTGGGAGACCAACCCTTCAAAACTCCCTTGCCTGTAGCAGTGTCTTGTCAGGGAAGCAGACCATTAAAATAGTTGGGGGCCCCTGAGACAGGCCTTTATTGGGAGTTACTCTGGGAAACCTGAGGGGTCAATGCCTCATTTCATATAGAATATTCGAATGAGGTCTAGGGAACATAATAGAGGAATGTCACAGACTTGTCCTGGCCTCCTCTCCTGCCTCTCCCAACTATTGTCACATCCAGCCTCAAACAACAACAACAACAACACACACACACACACACACACACACACACACACACACGTGTGCTCACATGCACATAAATACATTCTCTCAGCTCAGCCTGCCCTGTGACAGCCTCACCCCACTGCTCTGGTGAGATCTGGCTAAGATCTCTGCTTTCCTTCCTTTCTGAGGATGGGAACTCGCATCTGGCCTGAAGACCGAGCACCCTGCCCTCTCTTTTTCCCCAGGGCCCAGTATAAGAGCGCCTTTTATGTTCATGAGTAGCTCTTGAATTCAGACCCAAACAGCTGTGTTAATGTCAAAGCCCTCACGGGAGGGTTCTAAGGCCTTGGGGCTGCTTGTGGCAGGGGTTTCAATGCGTCTGGGCTCTCCTGTGCTTGAGAAAGGGAACCGTCCAGAGCCCTTGGAAAGGCTCCTCTTCTTGACTTTCTGAGAGCGTCCTGCTCGTGACTCAGAGACTATGGGAGTCATCCAGCCTGGCTTCTCCTTGAGCAGCCGGTCTCTGTCAGGCCGCACGCTACGCAAGAACTTCCTAAAAATGTTGGCTGTTAGGGCAAACTTGCGACCCAGCTCCCTGGAATGGCCTTTTTCTCCTTTGGGTTCATTGGGTCCCCCGGTCTCACCCTTCTCCCCACCCTTTTCCAGTTCTGGTAAGTCTAACCAGTTGCCCACCAGGTCTGCAAAAACATTGTCCCCCAACACCAGAGGCTGTCGATTTCTGCCCCGTGACATCAATGTGGAGGTCCAGTCATCTGGTTCCACCCACTCTATCCCCTGTTGGGTACAGCTTTGATGCTCAGGCAGCTGTGTCTTGGGAAGGGCAGCCAGCTCCTTCCCACAGACACTCCTATGGCATGGAAACTTGGGGCTGCTGTCAAAAGAAGGCTGGCTGGAAGAGGGACAGGCTGCAGGCCCAGCAGGACGTCTACTACCCTGCCAGCAAGGGCACTCAGGCTGATTCTGTGAGCGCTCAGGACAGCTGAAGGCAGGCGCGTCTCCAGAGATCTCCAGCTGTTCCAGTGCCGTCTGCACCTGTAGGAGCTTCAGTTCTTGCAGTGCGCCCATCATACAGTTCATCTGATCCTGTAAGCCATCCCCCACCTCCTTCATGGACATCTGCAAAGAGAGAAAACACGGGGCATGAGTGTTGGGGCTACAGGGAGGCTTACTCCCCAACAGCCTTGAACCTCAACCTGCAACCTCTGAATATACTCTTCCAGGGTCTTCCAAGCCTGCCGTTAGAACTTCATCTATACAGTCTGCTACAGGGCAGACCTGTCCTGAGAGGAGGAATCTGAACACTGCTATGGCTAGATAAGAGAAATAGCATTAACAGCACTGAACTAACCAAGGCAGGCATTGTCCTAGAAGCTGTTGAGATGTTCTGCCACATGCTAAACCAACAGTACACTGAAATTATCATTAAGTTAAAAATGTATTCAATACATCTAAGTCACCAAACATCACAGGTTGGCCTAGCCTACATCAAAGTGCTCAGAACTTCTATTAGCCTACAGATAGAAAACGTATACACATTCTATTGCATGATAATTGCACTGAATGAATGCAGCTACACGCACACACACACACACACACACACACACACACACACACACGGGGTGGGGGAGGGGGAAAGAAGCAAAAGACCAAAAACAGAATAGTTAGCCAGCCACAATAGCTCACACTTGCATTCCCAGCACTAGCTTTGAAGTACAGCATAAAGGAGATTAAGGACAGCCTAAGATATGTAGTATGTTCCAGACAAGTCTGAGCCATAGAGTGAGACTGTCTTAAACAAAGAAATGGAGAAACCTATAATGGCTTCATGGGTATGCTTTTTGTCCAAAAATCATTAAGTTGAGGACCGGCATTTTATGTGTTTGGTTGGTTAGTTGGCTTGTGTGTGTGTAGACATGCATATAAATATATATTTATATATACATATATATATTAAAATATATAATAATAAATTACCTTATTTTAATCCTGTCAACTGCTCTTTGAGATTATGACTATTATTGCTTCCCTCTGAAAGTTAAGGAAACTGAGGCCCATAATGATTAGATAACAAAAGATGGAGCTCAGTTTAGTCTGAAGGTATACAAAGTGGTACCAGCATGACTAGAGAGGCTTAGACGTTAAAGGCACTTGCTGCTCTCCCAGAGGACCCAGGTTCAAGTCCCAGTACCCACATGGCCATGGCAGCTCAAAACCACATGTAACTCCAGTTCTTGGGAATCTGATGCTTTCTTCTGGCTTCCTCAGGCACTACTTTTATGTGGTACATAGACCTACACAGGCAAACTACTCATGCACATAAAATAAAAAAAGAAAGAAAGAAAGAATGATAGTAGCCATGCCTGTCCTCTCTGTGTCGTTGCTCCCTGGTGGATAAGGGTGGCAACACACATGTAAGAGAATTTACTATGTAACAGATCTGTACTGCAAGCTGCAGGTGTCTGTCTCATCTCATTCCAGTTCTGTAAGCTCTGGGCGGTTGCTATTCTCACTTCATCAAGTGAGCAAGCTGCAGCAGGAGGGAAGTCAGGGACCTGAATCCATGCAGCTCAGAGATCCAGGACTCAAGCCCAGGCCTGTCTCAACGAGCTGCCGTTGCCTGCAGATGGCTGGGCAACAGGGCCAGAGCTGAAGGCTACTGTGTCCTCTACGGAACAGTAGAGAGGGGGAGGGAAAGGGACACTAGAGAGAAAGGGTAGGCCTGGGGCTTCTTCTGTTCTTCACATATGACTGGACAGGAGAGAGAGTCCACAGAAGTCTTTTGTGCCAGAAGCCCCTGCCCAGCCCTGCCCCAGCCCTGCCCAGTCCCCTCCCCAAGCACCTGTTCCCTTATGCTTGGCTCCAGCATTCTTTTTGCCTTCTCAGCCTTGCTGGATCTGAATCCCATGCCAAACGCAGGGATTCTGAGGCCGGTTCCCCTAACCCCGTGTCCTAGGTGCCATCTGGAAGGGGCTGAGGGACTGACTTGACTTGGGTGAGGGCCCCGCTTGGAGGCTGGGGAGGAGAGGCCTCTGATAACATTCACAGAGTTCCTAGCTCCTGTAGCCAAGCTGACTTAGACCTGCCAGCTCCCTCCCCACATCCTGATCAAGTTACTCACTGCAAGCCTCTGTTCGGGAACCATCTGTTTTTAAGCCCCCCAGAGACCCATGGGATCATCTTACCTCCCAGGCTTGTCTTAATGCCCAGACCTAAGCCCAAGGCATGGGGGGTGGGGGACTAAAATAGTGGGGGACACAGAAGCGCTACAGTGTGGGCTGTCAGCTGGCCCTCTCTGACTTCTAGGTTAAATCTCATGCCAACCCTGGCCTGGCAGGGAGAGATCTGTCCAAGCTCCCTTGAACCAGCAGCACTAAAGGTCAGCGGAGGACTGTCAGCCCCCGAGGGCCAGGAGGCCTTTGCTGGGCTGCAGAGATTGCCCTTGCTCTGCGCACTTTCCTGAGACAGGGGAAGAGCTGACAGCCATGGGATTTTGCTGGGGCATGTGTGTGCCATTTGAGGGGCAGGGGGGGGTGCAGCAGTAGCAGGAGACACAGAACTCATGGAGTAGCTGTGCCTGCCATTGGTGGGTCTTATCCTGACCCCTTCCTTTCACATAAGCCCAGCTGCTGCTGGTATATAACCCAGAATGGAGCTAGAGGCTCTCGGATGCAAACCCAGCTCAGTTCCTTCCTGAAAAATTGTTTTGTTTGATTTGGTTTTGTTTTCCCTCCAATTGCCCCATTCATCCCCACTCTCCAATGTACTCCTTTTCACCTCGAACCTCTGTTCAGTCACTGGGTTCCTGTCTAACTTATTCCTGTACTGGGTTAGAATCCTCTTCCCCCGGATATCCTGCTTATTTCCTTCCATGCTGGGAAATGCTGCAGAAGCCTCCTCCAGACTTCCAGACTCCAGACCCATGAGTACCCGCCTCTCCTCCAGATGCCTATCTCCATCCCATCACCTCACTCATAGCTCAATTATAATGAGTCTCCAGACTAACATGATCTCTAGTCAAGACCCATGCTTGAAACGGTAATTCCTGGAATCCTTATCCATGTCCCAGACATATCCCCACCGGGCTCCTCTCACGGCATCCTCTTAGATCCGTGAGGTACATGTTCCCAAAGTACTACTTCTGTAGAGGGCCAATGTCTTCCATGGTTTAAATGCTCCAGTTGCTCATGAAATATTTATTGAGTAGCTACTGTTTAAAGGTAGAGACTGAGATCTGCCCGTCACTGTATCACCCCAGAAACCACCTGACACTTTGCAAGGCACTCTTCAGCCGAATATGGGACTTCTGACTCTCTTCTCCACATCATCCCTCTAGATTGTTTGCTACCTGAAGTCTCCTGCTAGAAAGAGAGAGAGAGCCAGGTCCATTTCCCAAGGTTTCAGTTCACCAAGCAACAAAGAATCTAAGCTGGTAGGCTTTCATCCAGAAGGAGGGACACAGGCCAGAGGTAGTGGGAGGGATGAAATGACCCTATTCAGTCTCCTCCAGAGTGGAAAAATACATAAGAAATAATGCTGACATTTGTATGGTTTTCCAGTAAGAACGAATGTGTGTAGGAATGTATGAATCCAGGGTTGTCCATTAGACAGAGGCTCCTTTTTATGAAAACAGGGGCGGAAATTGTATCCATATTGAAAATATTCTCTCTTGGTTCAAAGCTTGGGGTCTAGAAATGAAAGGAACAAGCTTCAAATCCCAGATCTGTCATATAGTGGCTGCATTTTTCCCCCTATGGAATTGTTTGTTGATTGGTTCTGTTTTCTACAGAATCTTGCTGTGTAGCCCATAATTCTTTCGCCGTAGCCTCCCAAGTGTTGACATTATATGGATGAGCTACCACACCCATCTCAGTTTCTCCTTTGGCCTCTGATTCACTGGAGATGGTCTTGAAAATCTCATCCTCCGGCTTCCCCCTCCCAAGTGCTGGCATTATAGGCACACCCTCCATGCCCAGTTTTATGAAGTGCTGGGAATCAAACCGAGGACTTTAGAGTAAGCAGGTACTCAAACAACTGAAGTTCATTGCCAGCTCTCATTCTCAGTTCTTTAAAATGGGAATAATAGTACCTGCTTCAATAGCTACTATGCAGATTAGATGAGGTAATAGTTACCTGCATGGCTTTAAAAAAAAAAAAGCATCAAATGCAGGCTGGCTGTTAAGACTTCCAGTGTGCTTTCAAAATATTTCTCCTCCTTTGGTGAATCTTCACACACAGTAATGACAGGGTTCCATGTGTCATATATGGTCTGACCAAGGAGAACACCTCTTTTGTCCAGCCCTGCCTTACCCAGGCAGAGGAAGGGAGGAAGAGGAAGCTCTAGCTTCCTCCTGACCACTCACACTGACTTCCAGAAGTCCAGCCTCGAGCAGAGGACATGCTGACACTAAAGGGAAGGCAGCTATGAGAGGGAAGCTGTGGGAAGTTGGGAGGGCCAGGGGCGGTGGAAACAGGAGCATCCTCTGGGCCACGACTGTGAGGGTAGCCAAGAGGACATTTCCCACCAACCCCAAGGGACTGATGTCATCCATGGAGAAAGAGCCAGAGGCTGTGCTGCTCCCTTCACTCAGAGCGTGGGACCATCTGGGATCCCAGGGCTTTTCTTGTCTTAGAATGAAAGGGGGAGGAAGGGAGCAGTGTGAGGTGGGAGCAAAGGAACAGGGTTAGCTTAGACAGCCAGAAATAAATAGTTCTGAGTACCAATCTCCATGCTGGAGGCCTCTTTGTATCTCAGAGCTGCAAGGCTCAAGTCATGTCCTACTTGCTCTTAGGACTAAACTGGTGATATCCTAAGATGATCTGATTGGTTCTCATCTGGGAAGATATGGATCAAACAGCCCTGCCTCCCTTGCAGCTATATACCATCAAATGCAAAGTCCTTAAGCATATCCTAATGGAATCTCTTTGAGAAAGGCGTCAAAGGTGTCCTCACCCCAATCTTTGCTGTCATATCACCCCCAGTTCATCGCTTACCTCCTGCCTTGCTTAGCATTCAAATTTTTATTCTATATATTTTCTGCATATCAAATTTTAGTCTCTCTAGCTGCAATCTACTCCAGCCTTCCTGGTGTGGTAAAGAGTCCCATGCTATAGCCTGG